TTTTTGCTGGCACATAGTCGTTAATTAGTGAATACTTTCATATTGAAACGATAAGTATACGATGGTAAATTCTCAAAACTGGTGCAGCAAATAATTTGATTCAAATCATTCTTGATTCTTTGGCGAGGGATGTTTGCCTCGACGGACACGGAAAAGTTCAACTTTTCTTTATTAAGTTTCTCTCATCGTTGCTCTACGTTTGGATGCAGAAATACGTAAGGCAGTGCAAGAGTTTCGATAGTGTCCATACTATTTTATTTCCATCAGCCCGACTCAAAAAGGTCTCTCCAGAGACTTAAACGCCAGTGTAATAAAGACAACCAAACCGACAGTCACGAAAAGACCCCGATAATGTTGCTTTTTAAAGTTTTTTTTGTTAAAAATTGTGGATTTTATTTTAAAGCTTCACGATTAAAAAAAAAAACAAACAACCTTATGACTGCCAAAAAATAAAAAAAAATCGTGAAAGTTTTTAAAAAATAAATCGTGAGACTTAATAAAAATCGTATTACCTGGGCTCTTGAAAATTAGACGACCCTCATCGCGAAAGGATGCCCTGCGGACATCCAGACGATGCTTTTTCTGTCGAAACATTCATTTTAGAGGAAAGTTATCGATGCGTTTCCTCCAAATTTTCGGTAAGGGTATCGGACGAATTGTGGGGAAAATTCCGTGAAAAATTCGAAGGAAACTTTACATTAAATCTCAAGGATATTCTACTTCAAAGTCGGAAATCTGGCAACTTCTGAATATCCGTACGGCGTTCTATCTTAGTACAGCAGAGAAAGAGCGAGATGAACGCAACGATGATTGTACTTCTGCTTGGGATCGGATGACTCCTGGTCAAGGCACATCGCGTCGCATCGTCGTCGCTGATGAGAGATGAGACTCCCATAGACAGTTTCGCAAACCGATTCGGCATCAAATTAAAACTAGAATTCAAATCCAATTGGCCGACGCACAGTGGATCGAGTCAATCAGAGAGGTCGGACATGAAATTTCAGACTAAACTTGAGTTTATTTCGTAAAATTTTGAAGTCAGGGTGTCTACTAAAACAGGCTGGTCAAAAAAAAGTACTTTCACGGTAATTTTTCAGTACATTCTCAAGAAATTCAGTACCTCCTCCAACAGAAAAATTCCTTACTTTTTCAGTGCCTCCATTTGCCGAAATTAGAAAATTTCAGAAATTTGGAATTGCGACAAAAATGACAAAAAATTAAAAAAAAAATCCGGACCATTTTGCGGAATTTCCGCACTTTTTCAGTACTTCCGGACCGCCCTCAAAAAATCAGTACTATTTCCGGACTTTCCGAAAATCCCGGTCTTGTAGACACCCTTTGAAGTTTTATGGGTGCTATCTCAAGTAAATTTTACGAGAAACCTAATGGTACTGCTTTCAAGACCTCTACATTTCGTAGGTAGTAATAGAGTTTTGAGCTTTGAAAGTTTCAAAATTTTGTCCGAGTTCTCTGATTGGCTGGATCCACTGTGGGGCGGGAGAGGGCCGGGGAGGATGCGCGTCGGGCCGGAGCCGCACGGGAGGTAAGGTGGTAAGGTCAGCGGCGCGCCACGCCGGTCAAGAACGATTTCGACTGGAAACCTCAATCATCGCGCGAGTTGTAACATCGGCTATGAAGAAATGCCGCTAAAAACTTTGTCCGACGACGACATTCCGATCGAAGGCCGATCGCCCTCCGCACCCACCGAGGCGTCGCGACGATGGACACCTCGCGCTGCCCGCCCGAAATTTGCACCGTCACCCAGAGTTATAATATTAAATTTTAAGTAAAGAGAAAAAAGTGGCGATATAAATTGATGGAACGTGTGCGCTCGGCCTTAAATGGAGCGATCCGAGGTTGGAACGCGCGCCAAACTTCAGGAGCCTTTTCTATGGGTCTAAATACGACTTTTTCTCTTCTGCGAATTTTTTTTCCAAAAGTGCTTTTAAAAATGGCTACAGCCCTCAAAAGTTCAGGGAATTGAATCGGTTTTCCTGCATATCGGCAACAGTGATGCACCGAATCTCATGAAAATGGAAGAATTCCAGAATCATAGGAGACACTTCAAAAGCACTTTCAGAAAAGTTTAAGAAAAAAGTTTTATTTTGACCGACAGAACACGTTCCTTCGTTCCTGCAGTACTTCGGTAGAAACACCTCAAAATTGATCCTGAGACTGCTCGAATTGATCTTTAGACCGCTCAAATTTGAGCCTTAAGCTGCTCGAAATTGACCCTTAGACTGCTAAATTTTTCGAACAGGCCTCCGAGATGCCTTTTTACAGCTAGAAAAAGTCTCGCCAAACCCTCTTCCGGAACTGCCACTTCTTGGTGTGGTGTCACACTCTAATCCCAGAACCTCTCTGATGAGAAGCACTTGTGCCCCAACCCCCACAAAAAGTTGCTAGTTCCTCCTGTTGTTGCAATCATATCATCCTTTAAAAGTATTCGGGACAAGGTGCAACCTCGAATCACAGGTTCTCACGGCAGGATCCATACTAATTCAACTCAACTCATAATTTTAACTCTATCTTTCTAACTTCTCACCGTAACTCGCCGTTTCCCCGGTCGAAGGAATGTAAGAGCATTCCAAGGTTGCAAAATTGACTTGAACGATTGATTTTTTTTTACAATAATTTATTTGTGCAATTTTTATTAAAAATTTTCTGATTTTTGCACGATATCAGGAGGAAAATCAAAGAATTTTCAATCAAAAATGCCAAGGCTCTTCAGGTAAAAATACTATTTGCGAGGGGAAATTTGGCAACCTTAAAGTTTAGTTACGTCCTTTCGTAAGGAAAACGACGGTCTTCACTCTCTGCTTCGTCAGTAATGTGCAAGGCACTATCCTTCTTGTTCCCTTGAGGAAATTGCCCCTCGTGTNCACCGTAACTCGCCGTTTCCCCGGTCGAAGGAATGTAAGAGCATTCCAAGGTTGCAAAATTGACTTGAACGATTGATTTTTTTTTACAATAATTTATTTGTGCAATTTTTATTAAAAATTTTCTGATTTTTGCACGATATCAGGAGGAAAATCAAAGAATTTTCAATCAAAAATGCCAAGGCTCTTCAGGTAAAAATACTATTTGCGAGGGGAAATTTGGCAACCTTAAAGTTTAGTTACGTCCTTTCGTAAGGAAAACGACTCCACTCTCTGCTTCGTCAGTAATGTGCAAGGCACTATCCTTCTCGTTCCCTTGAGGAAATTGCCCCTCGTGTTTAATGAACTTGTTTCATCATCGAACATGACTTTTCACTACTCGAGAGAGAGGTGGTAGAGAGTCTTAAGCGTTTATTTTTTTGAAACATTTTCGAGAACAATGACACCACGATGTACCTAAATGCCGCTGCATCCTGTCGGATGAGACCCGTGGAGCAAGAGAACGGGAAGTTTGGTCGGCCTGTTTTCTGCCGTGCTAAGGAAAAACGCCGTAAGGACATTCGAGAGTTGTCACATTTCTCCGGATAAAACATGCATTTTTGAGGAAAGATTATGCTGACTCTACCTTGAAATTTTCAGATATTCCAGATTAAAATGCGGAGAAAATTTTCCGAAAATTGTTAAGACAAATTTTAAAAATTTTCCCAGTAAATTCATTCTTTATTGAGGGAAATATGGCAACGCCTGAGGCCTCATACGGCGTTTTCACGTCAGTTTTGGAGTGCGAACGCTAGGAATGGACATGAAGGCGGCTGGCGGCTCGGCGCGACGTTATTGTGTCGTGTGCCCCGGCGTCTTCATTTGCGGTTAGATGTCTTTGCTAATTCAATTGTCACGGAGCAGACGGCGCAGCGCAGGTCGCCACGAAGCGAAGAGATGGCGCTACACGGAGGATACGTCTATGCATGCGCGTCTCGACTATTATCAAACTATGGAATGACTTTCAACCGCGTCGAGCTATGTAGGTGCTCAACTGCCATGAGCTACCCCATAACACTACCACGCTAATTGTCAGACACCTTACGAATAGGATCTCAATCTGCCGGTGGGGAAGGCAGACTTGACAGGGTTGCCACAGAACTTAGAGAATGAAATTCCCTAACATTTCCCTGATTTTTCTGACACAGTTTGGGGAAATTCCCTGACAATTGAAGATATGACAGGTGGTTAAGACGGCATGAATGAAAATAGTTTTCAGGCAAAATTTGTAGTCCGAAATCTCAAACCCATTCTAGAAAGCAAATGAAGGAGGTTTAACAAATTTTTCCTGACGGTGGCAACTCTGGCTTGAGTCACCATTCACCATATCACCGGGACAAGCCGTGGTTTCACTCTTGGAGTCCCTCAAAATTTTGGCAAAAATCCGATATGTAGCGATACGTATTATACATATAGAGGACCCCTATAGGTTGGTTTGTTGGCTCGTCTTACATCACATAATTCCAAAATTAACCCCTAGAAACCTCATGCAGAAAATATTGGAGACAGAATAATTCTGATCAAGGGTTCGTTTGTTCTCCAGTGAAGGCTGAAAAGAGTTACAAAACTCCTTAATTTCTTTGATTATTTGGGGAGCATTATCTGATTTTCACTGTCTTCGATAAGTTTTTGACGATTCCTAGCAAACTGCTTGTTTCCGAAGTTCCGCCCGTCACTGTAAAACAAGTATCGTTTGGTTCTTCCAATTTTGTGTTGTATTGCCGGTATCAGGCTAATTAATTCTAATTTTCGGGGATAACTGTGTTTGCCGAGGTTATAATTTGGTTAGGACATTGACAGTTATTCTGCCGTGCGACGCAAAATCGCCGTAAACGCCATTGTACATTCTTTGGAAACAATGTATTATAGCAGAAAAACTTGTGTACCTTGGGACAATGTATTTACAGAATATTTTTGCAAATGCTATCAAAAACTTAACCTGATTTGAAGTGCATAGGTAAAACGGGTTGTACTTTATAAACTGTTGTTCTAAAAATGTTCTAAAAACGAGGGAAAATCTTGATGGATTTACGGCGTTTTGTTTAACACGGCAGTATTGTGGTAGATTTGAAGATAACGTACCTTTTTGTGATTCCATAGGACATTTACACTGGGCTTCCCCCGGCGAAAATCGGACTGGTCGATGACGTCGTCGTGAATTAGCGACGCTGAATGTATCATCTCCGCTATCATTGCTACCTGTCTTTGAGCCGGTGTAAGACCACTGAAAAAAGAAACAACATTCAAAATGTAATTTCACACAAGGAAAAACTCCTTAAAGGGAGAAAGAAAGGAGTGAGAAGGTAACATTACATCACATACGGAAACATACATTTCTACTTGTTCTACTCTACAGAATGTTTGCAAAGAAACGAAACTAACAATACTGCCGTGCTAAGGAAGAACGTCGTATAAACATTCGAGAGTTGCCAAATTTCCTTGCGTAAAATGTTTGTTTTTAAGGAAAGTTACGAATATTTTTCTTTGACATTTTCAGGCACTTTGGGTGAAAATGCGTATAAAATTAGCTGAAAAATTAGGAGAAAAATATTCACAAGTTTGGCAGGAAATTCTTGTTTTACCAAACCCTGGTAAAAATTGGCAGTAGAATCTGTGTTCCAAAATACCATAGACCTATAGCCGGCTGTAAGATTTCCAATAGCTTCTATAGCCGGCTACACAATTTCTTATAGCCTTTCATAGCCGATGGCGATTAAGCAACAGCCAGGCGATAAAGTGTATGCTGAGCGTTACTAATTACGGATGCTAGGACTTAGTGAGTTTTTGGACTACTGCTCTTTTTTTGGGCCGTAGTATCTTGATTTATTTTGCGAGGAAAGCTCCGCACTATTGATAAATGCCTGCCATTCCTAATATATTAGAGCGCCTTTAGTTTCGTATGATACTGTGCAATACCTCTGGTGTGAAATAGTTGCTTCAAGCGCCGTGGCCCGCTGCGGCGCGGCAGGCGGGCAGCCAGCGCGAAACGCGCATTGGCGCCTTCAAACCTAACAGGGATACTTCACGCATTGCGCAATGCGTGGCCGCCAGTGCGTCGCCGTTCCGCTTTGTGTTAGGCTCTAATATTTAACCTGGCGGAGTCAGCGTTATTCAACTCATGATTTTGAAATGTTTGCACATCCTGTATGGATTATTCTCATTTTAATTGATGAAAAAAAATATGTATTGAAGGAAAATATAATGTGTGTTTTGTAAATATTAAGGTGGTTCCGTATCAAACTTAATGATTTCCAAAGCACACGCATTTCTACCTAATTTCTTATAGCCTTTTATAATCGATGGTGAAAAAGCAACAACCAGGCGATAAAGTGTAAAGCCCGGCGATAGGAACTATAGCCCGGCTATTTAATTTTTTATCGCTTCGTATAGCCCGGCCGTATGATTTTCTCCGCATTCTACAGCCAGCTATATGATTTTCTGTAGCCTTCTCTAGCCGGCTATAAGAATTCCTTTGGTATTTGGAAACGCAGCTCTCATCGCCTATTTTTACCAGGGAAGACAATCTGGCAACACATGAAGGTTCATACGGCGTTTCTCCTTAGCACGGCAGAGTAAGCAAAAAAAAAAAAAAAAAANAAAAAAAAAAAAAAAAAAAAAAAAAAAAAAAAAAAAAAAAAAAAAAAACAAATCAATAAAAAATTGACAAATTTAGCTCCAGAATCATCTGAGCCTGAGAATTTTAGGAAATACCCTCACTTTCTTTTCTTTTCGAAAAGTACAAGAAAAAATAGAATGGGATGACCGAAGAAAAAAGATTGGTTAAAAAAATGGACAGGCACAATTGATTTTGATCCGAAATTGTAATTGGGGCAATAATGCGTCTGTTGCCAAAAATATTCACTCTTCAACTGTAAAATTGCACAAAAATCAAGTTGGGCACGTCAAAAAAGTCTGAAATCCATTCCTTAGCGCGCAATCTGCGTTTTGTGTAAAACGCTTTTTCAATTTTCCCGCGTCTACGGGCAGTTTTTCTCAGTTACCGTCGACCAGGTTTGCACAGGCAGAGATGTAAAACAGAACTACAACGTAAGTGAACAAGCGATTTCACTAACTTTTTCTATTGTATGATTTCAATCGTTTTCAAGCATTTGTTTCCGTCTTCTTTCTTTATTTTGCAAAAGCAAAAGCTTTGAATCAATTGAAATCTTATACGCAAAGAGTTTTTAACAGTTCGCGAGATTGTTTGTTTATCGAGGTTAGGTTTCTCTCCAGGCAAACCTGACTTCCGACCATCAAGAAAAACTGCCCGCGTACGCGATAAATTTAAAAAATTGCGTTATAAACTACGTAGATTGCGCTCTAAAGATTGGATTTCAGACTTTTTTGATGTGCTTAACGTGATTTTCGAGCGAATTTACTCTTAGAAATTAAATTTAGGTGGATTTGTCTCTTGCGTGCAAGAGACCCGTTGCAATTACAATATTTATGTTGCGGAGTGAACCCAAGACTTTGGACTGCATCATTCGCTTCGCGAGTCTTTGCGACACAATTAAACAGAGGTGGTCTTAGAGTGAAAGTTTAGCTCGGCGAATTTTATGGTATGGACTAAACTAGGAGCTACCAGCGTGGCACTTTGTAAGCCGAGAGAAAACGTCAGTAAGAGTAACGTAATGTCTCCACACTAAGTTCGTTTCAATTTCGATCTATCATGCCCGTAATTAATGAAGAGGGACATTAGCCTTGCGAAAAAAAAAAAAAAAAAATTTAAGCGATAGTATACCTCACAGGGATGGTATACAAGAACGTTGACATTAATTTGACCCTTGGAGTTTGAAAATTTGAGAGGATGATAAAATGCGTGTGCCCAGGTCTGAAATATTTAACATGCTAGCATGCTGGCTTCTTCCCCCCATTTGCAGCCTAACTATTGAAGAAATGATACAGATATAGAAAATGGCCATTTCTGAATAATTTTTGTCCTTGGATTTCTCTTTAAAAATTACCGAGAGAAGGGATTTACCGATAAAAAGTAATCATCATCGTTAAAAATTATAGTTTAAATAATAGGCGGTAAATGGAAAAAGAAAGAAATCTTTTAAAATAAACTCGGAAGATTTACTTATGTGAATGTAATTTTTAGAGTCCGTTATATGCGTTTACATTAATTTTTACGTCATACGTTGCTCATACTTATTTAAACCGCCTTACACATTGAACCATCAATGCACATTTCTTAAGGCACCTATTTGTATGGATAAGTGTAAACAATACACATGAAGATTTCATGATGGAGTTTCAATTATTATTTCATGTTCCGATTACCCAAATTTCCACTGATCATTTTTTCGTCCCTGATTCCAAAATTGTTTTATTTTCTGACATTCGAATGAGACCTCTACCTCAAATTTTTTCCTTCTCATCATCATACACTTACTTCTGCTAAACGCTGCTCACAAAATTCTCTGACTTCTTCAATAATTCCAAAAATGTCCCTAACTTTTCCAGGTTGCCATGAATCACAATCCCTGACATTCCAGGTTTTCCAGATGGCTAACAACCCTGCTAAATGCTGCTCACAAAATTCCCGGACTTCTTTAATAATTCCAACAATTTCACTAATTTTTCCAACAATTCCAAAAATGTCCCTAACTTTTCTAGGTTGCCATGAATCACAATCCCCGACATTCCAAGTTTTCCAGATTGCTGACAACCCTGTTAAAATGCAGATTTTGGGCATCAGAGCTACCAAGACCAGAAGGACTCCCAAAAAAACTAATGGGCAAAAGTCGATTCCAGTCGTGTGAATAGAATTCCGCGACGCTGAAATGCAGTGAACGGCCTCCTGGCTTGAAAGCAATTGTGCTAATGTAACAATTAATTATTGCATTCCTCATTACTTCGATCGTAAAAATGAAGTATCGGATACTGAGAAACGGCTAATTGTCGACTGTCCGTCATGATGAGACCCGCGTAGAGAGGGGGCGGCTTAGTTTTGTATATATGTACCACTTTTATGTGTGTCAAGGTTCACTGCATCGGCTTGGACTTCGCGGACAATCCGAAAGCTGTAAACTTGGTCATCAGCGGAATCACCAATTTTTTACTCAAATAGTTTCCTTTCTCGCTCACTTCTTCTATGCGTCTCTTTCCCCTCTTTCCGAGAGCTCCTTATTTTAACTGTTTTGGACGATGCCAAGCTGTTAGAAAAGCATAACAAAATATTCCAACTGTAGAAAGATAATAGAGCGTCTGGCAAGATATTCAGACCATTGGATAGACAAACTAACAGGCGAGAACAGACGAACAGACTATCAGTCGGAAAACAAATTCATGCGATTCGGATGAAAAAAAAAAAAAAACCCAAAAAACCAAATAGTTTCAATCAGAAAATTGCTTAGAAATCACGAGAGTCTAAAATTCACTATAAACTTCACGATGTTTTTTTCTCTTTTTGCTTCTTTTTTGTAAAAACTCATTATTAATAAATCTTACAACCTAGAATTGCAGCGACAAGTTTACAGATCGCCTTTTCAGAACATATTTGAAAAATCGCTCCTCTAATTAAAAGCAAAATAATTAGGTTTTCGGCTACTCATAATTGAAAGAAAACAAAGTATTGAGCTTTTGGCCGATTTAGTTGAAGCGAAACTATGCAAACTCAGGCCATGTTTGACAATAAAACAATGTGCAAGATAATTACATGTTTATTAAAAATATATTGCCGTATATGTAAAGGTAATTTTTAATAAATTTTGTAATTCATGTAATTCTTTTGCACATTGTTTCATTGTCAAACATGGCCTGAATTTACGTGGTTTCGGTTCCACTCAATCCGCAGTAAGATCAATGCTTCGTTCTCTTTCTAATTAAAAACTATTTTTTACTGATGACGAATTTTAAAAGGAGCTTCACAATATGCCCTAGATGATTCATGTAAATCAAATCATGTCCTTGACGAGGTAAATTTTGAAAATTGGCAGCTCAAAAATTTGCGAGTTATGAATAAATTTCAGACTCTCAAACGATGTACTCATCTTGAGTTTTCAGCTATTCGCCGAGCGAGAGGGTCAACTCCCCTTCTTGAGTTCTTGACCCGAAAAAACTTCTGAAAAGACTCATTTGACGCAATATTTTGCAACTTCTCTTCTACTGAAGATAAATTTCTCCAATCATAATTCGCAGCGGCGAGTCATTGGCGAGATGCCGACTGGTGCATAAATATTCTCCAAACGCAGACTTGAGGGCTAATTTTTATTAGAGAGCCGGCAACATTCGTTGAAAAAAGTGTTGCCGATTCACAATGTGTTTCTACACGAACTTATGTAAATTGGAAGATTATTTATCGGAAATAGACAATGTTCGACGACGCGCTGGTCCATCTAGCGGGTCATAGCGCTAGGCGTGCAACTGATACTTAAAATGGACCTAATGACACCTGAAAATTATCATTTTTATGCAATCGGAATGCGTGTGTGGTTAACCTTGGGATTGACCCTTTATCCATCTCCAATAGATGTGTCACGAGGAGTGGAGGGTTGGACACCGACGCGCGACGCCGTGCAGTGGATTGATTTAATGGAAGAAATTGGACGCGATTTGGAACCTTTAAAAGCTTATACCTTCGTTAATATAAAACGTAAAATTTTGAAAGCGTGTTCGTTGGGTTACTTGTATAATTTTCTTCAAAAAACACTCCTTAAAATTTAAAAAGTGCGGAAATAGAGTTATAAATCCGAAGTTGGTCCAAAATGTATCGTCTGATTTCTCTCGGAAGCTCGTTCCATTGTGCATAGCACAGTGGATCAAATTGATTAGGGAAGTCAGACATTAAATTTTTGACTAAAACTGAGAATTTTGGTGTTTATTTCGTCCGATTTTAACTTTCAAGGGGTGCTTCAAGATTGAAATTTCACAAGGAAACCGATGGAACCACTTTTGTAACCTCAACTTTTTGCATAAACGGGAGTTATAAACGTTTAAAGTTTCCGAATTGTGTCCGACCTCTCCCATTGACTCGACCCACTGTGCGACGCCGAGCAGCGCTGCGGGCCGATTACCGAAAGTTAAAGAAGCGCGATAAGAAATCGAAATGCGATACATTTCATGGTTAAGATAGGGATACGCCTTGCCTTGTCGTATCGACACTGATTCAATAATCGGGCTGCAGAACGACTCGCGTGTCTGCGTTTCACTCTTGGGCACTCGTTGGGCAACCTGCATGGGCGTCCCAAAATAGGTATCCGAGGGCACTCGCGCAGTAAAATATTTCAGCTCTGATTTTACTACTTGGCAACTTAAGTCTAAATGCGACTCGACAGGCTACATGTGTCACTGAAGATTATTTTTATTTTCAACCGTATCTCATTCAAGTCTTGGGGTCCTATTTGTTTTTGTTTTTAAAAAATTACATTAGAACCTCTTTTTTTCACGAGAAAATGGGCAACCAAGACTTTAAAAAAAGAAACAGAATACCTAAGGTGTTTCGGGGGTGGTTCCGACCCCCTCCTCGACCGGGGTAAAAATTATAAAAACAGTATAACAGTCAAAAAACCCCTCAGACTCCCATTCGTTACTTTGTTTCTGTATGTTTTTGGTTTTTGGTTGCCCATTTTCTTGTGTATTGTTCCGTTAAATTGATCGTGCTATTTTGAGTATTATTCTCGTCTATTTCGTTTCTCTTGGTACTTCTGTTTTTATCAACTCATTTTAAATTTTGTTTAAATTTTTGGTGGAGGAATCGCAGAGGGGCCGTGCGGGTACGGGGTTGTTCATAAAACACGTAACCATTTAGAGGGAATGTTGCTCCATTTTGTTTTTACGTGTTAAGGGACAGGGACCTACGTCACAAAAGAGATACGAAGGGGGAAAAGGTGGGTCGGAAAATCCTAGATATAATTATACGTTTTTTATGAACGGCCTTGTACAGAGGCTTCGGAGACTTTAACGCCCGACTAAGAAGATGGTCGCGACCCCACAACCTATTCGGTCTCTCCGTCAAAATCCGATACATGTATAATTTTACGTATCTTATGAGCGGCCCTGTATAGCGACTTCGGAGACTTTAACGCCTGACTAAGAAGGTAGCCGCGAGTTCGCGACCCCACAACCTCTTCCGTATCTCCAATTGCCATCGAATTGTTGGATTCATCTACTATTTCAAGTCCTCTACAATAGACGATCTACATTAGAAAGAAAATTGTTTTATCCTATAATTTTTTTTTTAAAAAATGAAAGGTCGAAAAATCCGAAATTTAGCGTTATGTATTTGACGAGCGGCCCCCGTCACTTTCTTCATTTTTTCTTAGTGTATTCAAAGATTTATCTTCTTGTTTCACTCGTTTTACACGAGCGGTTTCCCCCAATTAGACTCCCAAATGCAGGGCCCGCTCTAGCCCCCCCCCCCCCCNNATGACGACCCTAATGGTGAGCTTTGAAAAAAGAGAAAACGAGAAAAAAAAATGACATTTAGGGACGGGGCCCTGAGAGAGAAATGTGAGGCAAAAACGAGAGAGGGAGAGAGGCGAGTAAAAGGGAGGGGGGAGAGAAAAAGAGAGGAAGATCCCGGAGAGAAGGAGAAACATGCGAAGAGGCGAATAAAATAATTTTCTTGCGCAAAAACGAGACCAAGGAGAGAAATAGGCGGGACGTAGTAAGCACAATTTACCGAGTCCTTGAACCAAAATCGGTTCCCGAGGAAATTGACCGGCCGCAAGACACGGTAAGTCCCGCGGCCGGGCACGGTCGCCGCGACATGCACTCGCATGCCTATGCAAACTCACTTACGAAAAGAAACGGCATGCAGGACAGCGATGCGCAGTGATGACGGCATGGCATGCGTTCAAGTAATAAACTGGCCGTTCATCGCCGTTCATGTCTGGAGTGATTGTTTTTCGCGGGCCTTGACTCCTTGTAAGCGAGTCATTGTTCTTGCGTGAACGCACCGAGTGCATCTCACCCGCCGCCGCCGCTGAACAATAGCTCCGCGAGTCGCCTAAGCGCCGGCGCGCGCCGCGGCGCCTGTGTCCTGCTTGCCTCCTGCGCGTCTGTATCCCTCGGTCGGGNGGGGGGGGGGGGGGGGGGTAAAAAGTCATCTGCCGTCCGAGCTAATGGATCGCTCGTGTTAAACGATAAAGCTTTGACATTCGCCCGGAGTCTAAAATGAAACTTCTCGATCACGCGAATTTTAACGAAAAAGCGTGGAGCCGGCCCGTGAGAAATTCGGGATACCCTGGCAGAACGGGTTCTTTGAAGGATAGCGCGTAACCGCCAAATTTCCGGAAATTGAGTTTTCGACGGAATAGATCGATTTCGATAGTGTATCGTTTGGTTTAAAACAATAGAACATAACCTCAAACAAAAACTTTAGGATTTCAGTTGAAAAAGCTGAAAATGGGAAAATTCCTAACAATTTCACTCTTCATTGCCGGTTTGTACTAATAAGTATAAAAAAATCTAGATTTTAAAGTTTTTTTTTAAACTGTCTACTTGAAAGCTGAATTCCTTGCACAAAAAGATGCTGATGTTAAAGTGGCCGCATGTGTAACATCTTTATTTGAATAGAAGGGTTGGCAGTTTGTCACACCTAATATTAAAAGGAAAATCTGACTTCACAGGGTCCCGAGATTGCTTTTGGAACAAAACAGGGTTATGATACTCAACGACGTGACCAGAATCATTGGTTGACCAAAAAAAGGCGGCGATCAGCCAAAACCTACTCGAGCGATTGACTGAATCGGTTAGTAACGCGCGTTCCGTGATTGAAACTTACAATTTCCATAAAAATAATAGCTATGATCCAAATATTATACTTCAAAGGTGCGAATGGCGAAGATGACGTCATGTGTCGACGTCACCTAGGACATTATTTTGAACTATAACTTTTTAGCAACAAACCAATTGAACCAGCCTGGACTAAGAAGAGATACCAGCGTTTTGGGTACGTTCCCTTTGACAAATTACAGATTCAACGTACGATCTCAGCTTATGAAATTATATAAGGGAGGGGATTGGGGGGTCTGTACATACGTACGACATCTTCATGGGAAGATAGTTGGTTACAACCATGGTTCGACGGCTTCGATGAGGAGGATCGTTGAAAAATCTAAAATTTCTCATGCGGATCGATTAATGAGACATGCGAGACATGATCACGAGCAATTTACCTTTTGTTCATATGGTAGTTGATAGCTCGAGCCATTAGAATAGCGACCATCGGCCTCAGTGCTTTGCCCTGACCATCGAAATAATATGTTGCTATTGTATGTAGTTCTTCTTGATTTGTGTTCCACCGTAGTTCCTGAAAACAAAATTGAATGTTTCAATTGAATCATTAAAAAAGGGAGCTCTAGGATGTCTTAGATTCCATTTCAAATAGACATAGTGCGAGGAAGTAGACAGTGGATTTTTCTCCACACTGGGAAAAAAACACAATGGATCTTGAGTCCAGACTCTTAAAAACATCGACAAGAAAGAGTACACTCGATTCAATTAGATTTAAGCTTAAAGCAAGAACCAAGCCTCTTAATTTGAGCGGATTTTCTTTTAATTTAAGCTTACCTAAATCTGATTGAATCAAGAGTCATTTTTCTTGTCAATGTTTTCAAGAGCCTAGACTCTAGATCCAATATGTTTTTTTTTCAGTATACACGATTTTCATGATAATCTATTGAAATGAAATATGACTGATGTGATGACGCCTTCCACCTGATAAAGTCGAAAAAGAGAGGCCAAAATTCAATTACTAGGGCCTCCCTGCACTTACATCCCTGGATGGTCAAAATTTTCAAGTAATCATTTCTCAAACGAGAACTAAACAATACAAGCATTATTTACGGATACAACACGATATATGATGGTGGCTCTTTGGGGCGTATTCCCTAAAATTATTTTTCATCAGTAATCAGAAGTGCACCATGAAGGAGACAATAGCCCCAAAAATTGAATGACTTTCGAAAAATATAGGTTTGGCAAGGGTGTTCGATTCTTGGCATATTTATTAACCGGTTCCAAGGCAAAAGCGGGGCGCATGGGCGAACAAGAATTTTTGAAAGCGATGACCGATGTTCTTGTTCTTCCGATGCATTTTGTGGTTCGGCTAGGTTTTTTTAATTGGTGATTCGAAAAGAAAAAAGGAGACATAAGTCAGAGGTTTCTCAAAACCGCAGTTCTGTCTCACGCTGGGAGCTATACGAAAGGTGCCAAACATGCGCCGACTCTAGGTGTTGCCGAATTTGATTGACCATATTCGTCTACAATTCTACTTAACGATCTACCAATTATGCACAAACCATTAAAAACCCAGGTTCACGACTCCTAAACATGTTTTAAAAAACCTAACTTCTCTCCCTGTAACGTTGTAGGAATTGGCAAAGTTTAGGGGTGAGGTTAACAAAATCGCTGCTCTGAATACAGAATCGTCTGTAAAATGAAGTCATGATCAATTGGATTGCACTTTGCAAAAAGGAACCAGAAGCATTGCAATGATGCTAAGATTGTGCAACTTCACCCTTCGCAATAAAAATACTGAAATCCTGAAAAAATGTGAAATTTATATGGGAATTTTTGTCTTAAATTTACAGTTTTTAGCGAGCAAAATAGAAACTGTTAATGGATAATCAGGCTTTTCTTCCAAGGCAAAAGAAGTTGCACAATATTTGCACCATTGCAATGCTTCTGGTTCCTTTCTGCAAAATGCGGTTCCATTGGACTATATTTTTACTTTAGGAACTACAGTATATCGACGGTGAAACTACCAAACCACGTATCTCGTTTGCGGTGTTTAAAAATCTACGCTCACATTTTATTTTTTTGAAGTAGACCAAATTAATATCATTCCTTGAAATTTTCACAGAATTTTCTCCGCACGAAGAGGAAAAATCACAGAAATTTTCAAGACTAGACATTAAGTAGTTTTTCATTTAAAAAATAAAGTATGACAGGAAGTCTGCGACGTCGCAAACCGAGATACGTGGTTTGGTAGTTTCACCGTCGATATGGCTCATCCGTCAAGACATTCATATGCTAGGGGACACTACTGTTACTACGATCTTCCTAAACTGAGCGAGAATTTGTGGTTCCTTTTTGCAAAAATGTAGTCCCAGTGAGAAGACGGTATTGACGCGGTGAAAACAGGCATAGTATAACGTGGTGAAAAATGAAATTTCAACACGATATTTTACTACCAGGATAGAGAAATTGTTCAAACTAAGGTGTTAGAATGTTAGTGAGTACACGATAAATTCATCAGACAAACCAATAAATTAGAATTTACTTTTTATTTCTATTTTCGGAGACAATCGAACGTAACAAGGATGGAGAGGGCGAGAGTTTGGGAGGTGAACACCTTGTTCCGATTGAGGCGCAGAGTTACCAGATTGTTGCACAATTATCGAATTTCTCCCATTTTCGTTCCAAGTTTCGTCGTCTTGAAACGTCGAATATTATAGCATTTTCATACTGAGGAATAATACTGGATGTTTAACCGGATCGAAACACTGCAAATGGTAGTAAAGAAGATTTATATTCAAGTTCTACGCTTCATTCTTTTCATATTTTACCATGTAAGTCCGGAGGATAACTCTTGATGAACTTATTAACGTTCCCAATTTACACTGATCGACTGAAAAATCAAAAAGGATGCCATTCGTAACTAGGTCAATGCTAACTGAAATTGCTAATTTTTTTCAACCCCCCCCCTCCTCCCCCTTATTCTTTTACTTTCTTTTAATGCATATTTCATTGTAAGCAATTAAGGGAGAGTTTGTTTGTTTAAAAAAAAAAACAAAAAAAAAAACAAAACAAAAAAACCAGGAACCAAGCACATCAGCTATTGATATATTTACTTAATTGGGTGATTTAATTTTTTACATCAAAACGATTGTGAGGATTTTTGTGCAAATTTCATTGAAATCTCTGCTTGGTACGAAGGAAATTCCCTTAACATTGTCAAAGGAATCCGCACGAAAGTTCTTTAGTAAAAAATTAAAGTGCCCGGTTAATTTAGGCAATAGCCAATGTGGTTTGGTTCCTTTCTGCTGTACACGGTCCAATTTTACCCTGTTCAGTTCACTAATTCATCACGAGCATTATAATTAAATGTTAAAATTGGATTTCAGGACAAGCAAAAAGGTGACTGAGATTCTGAGGGCACACTATCTGAAAATTAAAGGATGCATTGAGCGAAAAACCAAAGCTGACTGATCAGATGCTCCTTTGGCTAGAAATAGACATAAGGATTGAAAACTGGAATACTGTTCGATATTGCTATCCTGGCGTTAAAGTCTTCAAAGAGGTCTCGAGAACACACTACTTGAATGTAGGATTGTCACGAGCGAAGTCTCTAAAGAACACACACGCTAGCGATCTCATTTTAAAAAAATAATTGTTTATCTACTCAGTTTTACACAACAGCAAAGAATCAGTTCACTCAGTCTGTGTGTCTGCTCTCTTTGAATACTTAGAGATTAAACGTACTTTTCACATTTCTCCCAGTTTGGGGTTATCGAATGAGATGTTTCGTTCTTATTAGATAAACACTGATCGCCACTGCGGCAAACATGGGTATAAAGTATACGGGAAGCGCAAATGGAACTGATGATTAGGTTTGAATTTCAACGGTTCTTTGGTCGATTCCTCTAAAAACTCGACGTACTTGGGAAACGTTGTTTACGGCTCAAAGTTTTAAGATAAATACAAAGTCACGCAAAAATATTATCATCAAATGAGGTTATGCGGAATTAAATATTCAAATTAAAAATGATCAATTGAGTGTAAAAAGAAAAATACGAATTTCACCACCTTGCAAAGGTTTTTATCCGCATAACAAATTTATAATAGGAATAACAATTTTCTTTCCAAAATCTAAAAAAAAAGAAACTTNGGGGAGGGAGGATAAAATATAAAACATTCAGTTTTCTTACTAAAGATGAGATGCTTGTAGCAAATTCAACGAGTGAGATCAAAATGATAGTTGTTTGTGATACAACTATTCGAACTCTTCGGTAAGTTTTTTGCATACTTCGCAAAATTGAAGGCGTTTTTTGCGTCAGCCACTGGACCGGGCATCCTGGCGCGTTTGCGAAATGATCTCACGGTCGTAAGCACGAAACCTCAAAATTAGCGACTGTCATTGATGACTATTTGCGACAGAGCAAACACATCCTGCCCTGAAACACTCAGCGAACAAAGCGCTGGTCGTTTTTGCGATGATAATAACGGACAAAGACTTAAAATCTCCAGCTCTCATGCTCGGGTGAGTAAAGACAATTCACACCACTTAAACTTCGGCAGCGATGTCGAACGTAGTGTGAAATTTTGGAGTTTCGGAAGGGTTGCGAACTTAAGAAGACAAACCACACTTTCGTTATCAATACATTGCTAAAAATTTTGGTGTGAAATGCTGTGCCCGTCTATACATTGCCCAAAAACCCCGAGTGATGTGAATACGGGGCGGAGTCTATTCTCCTTACAGAATGACTCACATTATCTGCCGTGCTTAGGAAAAAGTCGTATGAACCTTCAGGCGTTGCCAAATTTCCTTCCATAAAATGCGAATTTTCTGGTAAACTTATGAACATTTTCCTCCCAATTTTTCAGATAATTTTGTTCGCAATTCCACCTAAAGATTCTGAAATTTTAAAGGAAAAATATTCATAACTTTCCTCAAAAATAAACATTTTATCGAAGTAGATTGGGCAACTCTTGAATGTTCGTTCGGCATTCTTCCTTAGCACAACAGTGCTACGGAGCGGAGTCTACTATTTTCTCTATCTCTACTCTATTTGCGGATTGTTATACGCTTTTATGGTGCTACATTCACATCGCATTCACATCATTCGAGGGTTTTTGACGCTATACGGACTCTGGCACCGAAGAATGAGTAAATTCAAACTTTGTACTTCATAAATGACGGGTCGTAACAATTGTGATAATAAATCGTTCTGGTTAATTTGAGTTCATAGGTTGACTGCCTTTTTGGGCCTTAAAAGCTCCATGACCTAACCTCAAAATTACCGACATGTCCTACAGGTACTCTATTCGGAATTTGATAGGTCGTGCTTTTTTCATTGCGCACGACAAGGATGGCAGGGCGGGGTTACGATTACCCAATCCTCAAAGTGCGGGGGGCTATCTTTGTGGTGAGGAGTGCGGTTGAGCAAGCTGGGGATTAGATTTGGAACACTTTTGCATGCCTACTCTGTACTGCTGAGGAAGAACGCCGTGTGAACATTCAAAAGCTGCCAAATAGCCCCCGATAAAAAATGTGTATTTGAGGCGAGTTGTGCAAATTTTTCATTGAAATTTTCGGATATTTTAGATTAAACTGCGTAAAAAATCGTCTATAAAAATCGAAGAGAAAGATTTACGATTTTCCTCGTAAAATCGATTTTTATTGGGAGAAATATGGCAACGTTTGAAGGTTCATACGACGTTTTCCTTTAGCACGGGAGTATTCGCGATCGTGTGCTTGGGCCTTTCGCGTCTCATTAGGAGTAATCCTTCTGGAGCGATTGAGCTTAATCTAGGGCGAATCGGAATTTAGGCCATCCATCACTCACGCCTCTTTTCACGAACAATTGGCGGACCGTCGCGTCGTGATGATGTCACGGGTGGTAGCAGGTCCTCGTCCCACGCCCATGAGCTGTTCTTCGGTTTTACCTCTTCATTATTTGGACGGATTTATGCTAAAAGGAACTATGCTCCACGCAAAACCCTATGCACATACTTTCTTTCAGCATAAATACGTCCATTTTGACTTGCGTCGACGGCTCATGTCCAAATAAACCCAGAGGCATTTACTACGTTGAATTATTATTGAGAAAAAAAAGTAAACCTGCGGAGTTACGCATTTCCGAGTTAGAAGCTGGCACCACTTTCAAGCATTTTCCAGGCCCCGAATTCCGAGACTCCTGCGTCACGCCGGGTCACTTTTTCGATACATGATCGATTGTTCGCGATACACGCGGGTACCCGGCCATCCAATGTAAACAATGTATCAGTCTCACAATAACAACGGTGAGTCTCAAAGTGTCCTTCTTATAATTTTCCTGTTTTGCCGGTTGAAAATGCGGGTGTGATCCCTGCGAAACGTCCCGGGTTTTTTATTTTATTTTATGTTCATTATTTGCGGCCTTAGTCGCGTTTTAACTTGTTTCTTTATAAATGTTTCGGGCCGATTGAGTTGTTTTTTCTATAATGTAAACAAAGAAGAAAGGAATCACCACGTATTCCACACCGCCATTTTGGATCGAGCATGTATCGAAAAAGTGACCGAAGCTCGGCGCACACCGGGATCGGAACTCGTCGACCAGAACATGGCGCCAGCTCTCCCATTCAGTGGCGTGGCGTGCTTTGCGATTTATCGATTGTTATGCCATTTAAACCTATGGAAAAGGATCGATAATCAGGGTGTTCGCAGCGAACACCTTAGTAATCGATTCTTTACCATAGGTTTAAATGGCATAACAATCGATATATCGCAATTCACGCCACGCCACTGCTCCCATTCAAATTACGACTCAATGTCAATTCCACTTACTTTTACTCAACGTCAACAACGCCGCGGTGCGTTGGTAAACATTCATTGAGATTTTACCCTAGGCATCTGGCAAAATTAAAATTTAAAATTTAAAAAAAAAAAATGCGACGAGACAACTTTTGGAACGGCAACACTGCGCGATATTAAAATCGAATTACAGATTTGCAAACGGGCACACTGCGATGCATTACCGCTGGCCGATGACCGCGCAGTTATTAATGATTCATTCATTTCTTTGCCTTGTGGTTCAATTATTCGGATCTGCAAAAAGTTCTTGATCCAATGACAAGGAGTACCGCGCTGTTGTTAGTCGGCTTGAGATAAAGCCCTACTTTAACGACCCTTCCTTTCTCCTTAATTTTTTAGAATGTTTCATGTGACGCATCAAGAATGACACTATTGAGCATATTAGGGAGGAAAAATGTTTAATATTGTACCTGACTGGTAGATTAAAAAGTAAAGCTAGTGAATAACTACTAATTGCAGGCATTGTAATGCAGCAACAGCAGCAGCTTTCGTAAATAAAGACTTCAGTCATCAATAATAAGATTGTGGAATTGGGGTTTTTTAGTTAAAAATATATAACTGTTTCACACCATTTGAAGGCTCCAAATCGTCGGAGGAAGACATCAATACAATTTATATTGATTTAAACCAAAATTACTCTCACGATCTTTCGGAACTCATTTTAACTTTATACATCTTACGTATTTTGTTTGGATTTGTGTATATGTATGTAACTGTTGGATGCAAATAATGGACCACTAGACAAGGCACGAATTTCAGCATTGATACGTACATGTTTCTTAACTAAAATTTCACGTAGAATACGACGCGTACAACGAGAATTACCGAAATTAACTCCTTTCAAAGATATTTAATGATACTTGATGCGTTAATTCAAACCACCCGCTCATGAAAACTCAATGCTCTGCGTGATTCGCATCGTGCGCTAGACGTTATCATGACAGTCCCTGCAATATAAAAATCTGACAACCTCAATCTTGACGCTTTGGCTCAGCTGCAGCAAATTGCTTATAGTTTGAACAACAAATGGTGGGAAATGAACATTACTCGATTGAAAAGCTTGTTGAGACCGTTGTAGTGCGCGATTTGACTCACGTAGAGCTTTGAGTTTCTTGTCAGCAGGCAGTTCAAATTCCTCGTAACCAATGTGAAATAAAAACGTTACTTTCTTCGCTTGGAGTTTGTTTCATTAGTTTTTGTTGCGCGAATCGTGCTCTACGTGAAATTCTGGTTAAGAAACATGTATCAGAATGCTTAAATTCGTACCTTGTCTAGTGGTCCATTCGCGGGAATTTTTTCCCAGTCCCTCCTACAAGTGTATACAGACGGTAACATCTTACGGGATCTCAAGGGCGAGTTTGCGTCAGCAAAAGAGCATCAACAAACCGTCGGTTTCGCCCAGATGTAGTTTGGAGCGCCACCTGGGACTGTGTCAACTCTTCATTAACAGTGTGGTAACCTTGCGTATCCCGAGTCCCCTTTCGCAATTCGTGTCTTTTTTCCTCTTCGGAGGTACATGGATGGCTTGCGGCTGGAGAGAGGCTCTGAGCTCGAATCCATTAATCTCTCTCTAACTTCAGCTCAATTGTTTGTGCCGTCCCTCTTCGATTCAATTCCTTGACGTCTTTGCGAAACTGGTGACCTAAGCGCAAAACGTACCGCGAAATGCTCGTGCTAAGTTGCGTATTACTGTTACGAAGAGCAATGTGGATATGCTGGCAATTTCCAAAATTGACTCATGACCGGGAAATGGGGAATCACTATATGAACTGCAAGAACTCATTCCTACCGAGAGAAAAAAATTAATTCAAATTAAGTTTCTACGAGTCCACCTAAATGTGTGAGAGAGCATTCCTCAGAGACAGTTCTTCCGCAAGCAAGCAAATTCACAATTTAAAAGAGAATTAAGTAGGTTCCTCTTCTTAACCCCTTTACTGTGCCGATTACAAACCAGTGGCGTGGCGTGCTTTGCGATATATCGATTGACCTGCTATTTAAACCTATGGAAAAGGATCGATGGACAGGGTGTTCGTAACAAACACCCTATTAGTCGATTCTTCACATCTTCTAGTGGGGGGAATATCGATAATCGATCATTAAAACCTCGCCACTGTTACAGACAATGGGTCAAACTTAGCGGAGAAATTGTCTGTTAAGCCTTAAACTGCAAGAAGTGTATATTCTTGCAGGGCAAGTAGACGATTTACATTTTTTACAATATTAGTCGTATTGTAACAACCGTACCATATTTTGGTAAATATCCCTTGGGAGAGGACTATTTGGACTTCATTCTGCAATTGGGAACTGCAAATTCTAGCTCATCTATAAAAACATGTTTCGGCATAGGGAAGACGATGATACCTACATACGTCGTTTCTGAACTGACCCAGAAGTTGCAGTTCTGTGCTGTAAAATATAGTCCATTTAAGGCTGAAATTCCCCCTGGAATTGGTCGGGGAAACATTAATTTCCGTACACCACTTACATAAACCGAAGGGGATGTTTAAAAAAATTACTTTAAAAAAATGTAGACTCACCTTTCTGATATCGCTGTATACATCTTTAAGGTCGTCTTCGAGTAGTCTGTATGGGTCGACTGTCTGGTAGTCTGGAAGTGATCCTGGCCCGGGTTGTTGGGAGTAATACCTGTGTGTGGGTGTGGTGACGTCGGCAGATGAACAGACATGTACATGATTAGAGGTGCTCTGAAACAAGAGACGAAAGAAAACCCCGTCATTAGAAACCGTGTAAATATAAGTGCAAGTGTACATTTGTGAAAATAGGAGTAATAATAGTGTCATTAGTGCGGCTCGGGATGGGGCTGAAAAACAATGCGATGGCTCATAAAAATATGTTAGAATGACAGTTTCTAAAAATTCACGACTCTGGATCCACGCTGAGCCACCAACATCTCCGACCCATAAACAACAGAAATGACAGAATCTAAAAATACTTTCGGGTATGACCATCGTGGAATTACACTTTTTGCATCACGTATTACCGCGCAGGAATTCTGGCGGTGTGGTCGGAATGTAAAATTCGCCAGAACTGCCGTAGATGTGACTAAAATCAGGTGTTTATCTATGATATTTGTACTCAGCGGACGAGAGGCTAGAATTTATGGCAAATGGTCTGGCACGCTGCCGACTCTCATTTTTACGACGGACATTTCGTCGTTTCTTTGACGCAAAGGCGTACCTCGATTTCCACGTGAGCTCTGTTTTACATATAAAGCAATGCTTTCCGCGGCTTATGTGATAGTAGAGATACGCACTTGTGACAGAGGAGCGACGATTTCTGCACGGGAGACGAGCGAAACCATTCTCATGAAGGTGTGTATTACTATATTAACTATCCGATGGGATGACTATTTATCATATGATGACTTGATCGCTATAGGCTACTCTCACACACGATACTTATGGAAGTTGTATCTCATCCGGAATACTCTCATTCCTCATTACTGCAGTGCTAAGGAAAAACGCCGTATGAGCCTTCAGACGGTGCCAAATTTCCTTTGATAAATCATTAATTTTTCGGAGAATCTGTGAATATTTTTCCTCCGATTTTTCAGATAATTTTGTTCACCATCAGATCTAAATTATCTGCAAATTGCAAAATATTCAAAACCTTCCTCAAAGTTTAACATTTTACCTGGAGAGATTTGGCAACTCTCGAATATAAATACGGCGTTTTTCCTTAGCACGGGAGATTACTCTCACTCATTGAATTGAATTTAAGTATGGACCGCAAAACAACATTGCAACATTATCAGAAATATTGAGAAAAATTGTTCCGATATTGCCTAGTGATGACAGCGAGGACACAGTTGCTGACGATTTAGCAGCAACACCGCGTGAATGAGAAGGTAGCAAGATTTTCAGGCAACATTGAAAGGAGGATACTGTGCAGCGTTTGGGTTATCACAAGTTCTCAAATGTTTTGAACTAGATGAAAAATATCAACGGGTTTCCAGGAAGGGCACACACGATGGAGAATTTGCAGGTGTCCGAGATTTGGAAAATTTCATATTTGAGACGTAACTGCTAAGAGAACTGAGAGCTATTCTTGGTTTCTAAATTGAACAATTATGGGAGGGAATATGACAGAGAAACCTCATCTGCTGAAATACACGTGTTTAAATTGGAAATTCCGTCAGGCCACCACAAGGTGGCAAATTTTCTCACTTTTAAAGTTTTCTAAAATTGCCAATCTCAGAAAAAAATTATGAAAAATACTGCGAGCTCAGCTCATTGAGTACTCTCAGGCGCAGCAATAAAATGTTTGTGTGCAAATTCTCCATTTTTTGCACATGAATGGGAGTGAGCCTCTCATACTGTCGTGCTGAGGAAAAACACCGTATGAACCTTCAGACGTTGCCAAATTTTCCTCGATAAAACACGAATTTCCTGGTTAACTTGTGAATATTTTCCTTACAGTTTTTCAGATAACTTTGTTTGCAATTCCACCGAAAGTTCCTGAAAATTTCAAGGAAAAAGATTCATAATTTTCCTCAAAAATGAACATTTTATCGAAAGAAATTTGGCAACTCTCGAATGCTCATACGGCGTTTATCCTAAACACAGCAGCATAAGTATTAGACCTATGAATGATGGACACAAGCTCGGAGGACGGTCAATTACGCTGAAGGAAGGCTGATCTGTCAACTCCCGAGTGAGGAAGCAGAGCTGGCTGGGCATTGCGTTGCCATCTTGGCGTTGTTGTCGTCACCGGTTGTATACCTGTATGTTGTATGTGCCTTATGAGTAATACTTTCTCTCCGTAAATCGTAGTCGGATACCTGTATGCTAACCACCCCTCCCCCCTCTTGCCCGCGTCGCGACGCCGACGACGTCGAATTCTGCGCGAAGACTGCGCCTCCGCCACCGCAACGCCACGAAGCACAGTGGATCAAATCAATGGGAGAAGTCGGACAAAATTTGCAGACTTTAAACGCTTATAACTCCGTTTATACAAAACTTTGAAGCTCTAAAAGAGGTTCCATTAGTTTTCTCGTGAAATTTTCTTCAAGAAGCTCCCCTTAAAGTTTAAAATGTGACGAAATTAACGTAAAAATTTACAATTTAAGTCAAAAATTTCATGTCCAACCCAACCTCTCTACCCGACTCGATTCACTGTGCGACACAACGCCGCGGGCCCTAGGACGTACTTTTACTTCTTCCCGCTGCGCTGCGTCGCTGCCAATGGCCCCGAGCACCGTTCGCCATTACACCCGCTTTTGATCCTCGAAAGAGCCGCCGCCAAATGCCTCGTTGTCTACGCTCCTGCCTGCAAAAGCTATTTCCTCTTTCTACGATGTACGGTCTGGAGGATACGGATTCGATCGACACGAATCGAAGAATAAACACGGGAACAGATCGACAGCGATTCGATTGACAGTTGGATCGCACTCAGCAAAAAGGAACCAGTGCGATTACAGTGTTGTAAAAATGTTGGCTCTTCATAATTATTATCTAAAAATCTCCCAGGGTAGCGAATAGTTTTGGCTTCCCACCCAAAAATGGTTGATTTTGAAGGGAAATAATGGTGTAAATTGTGATACTGTACTTTAGAAGGAAAGGAGACGATGCACGATTCTGAAAACACTGTAATCGTGCTGGTTCGTTCTTACCAAATGCGATCCCGTTAATTAAATGTGCCGATTCGATCGATATGAATGGAGAAATGACTTTTTGAATTTTGTGATGAATTATTTGCCGGTTTCATTAAATTTGTTGTTGGAGTCATAATACTACAACTCTGCCAGAATTCCTTGCCTCTGCCGCATGATGGGATGAGAGGCAGATATCTTGTGAAGAGCTGGGATGGGAACAACATAAATAATGAAGGCCAGGTTCCCGGTTGTTCACCTCCTGATATTGTTTAATCGCATGGTAGAAGTCAGTGGGCTAATCCTTGATATTGATAGACGAAGCTATAGACAAAGAAGACATACGGAGTATGGAACGATCTTATTGGTTGAAACGGTCGGTTCTTATAGAATGAGAGAGAAAATGATGGACTAACTGTAGTAGCTCTTGTCGCTTGCCGTTAGTGTTCCTACTAATTACCTATTACACGGAGAAAAAAACCTCGTGCGTGGGACCCGAAGTTTAGGTCGTATGGATCTCCGAAGTTTTCAGATTGAGCATCTGAACACTTAAGGTCTTGCTGTCGAGGTCCGGATCACACATCTGAAACTTCAGTTCTTACATGTGAAGTACTTCGGTTTTTACATCCGAAAAACTTCGGTTCTCACATCTGAAGTACTCCAGATGTAAGAACTGAAGTTTCAGATGTCAGACCTGAACTTCGGCAGCTAGACCTCACGTGTTCAGATGCTCAATCCGAAAACTTCGGAGATCCATATGACCTAAACTTCGGGTCCCACGCACGAAGTTTTTTTCTCCGTGTACTTACTTCCGTTGTCCATTGCAGCCACCAGTTTCCACTAATAGGATCACCCCATTTCCCCTCTGTGTTACGTTACGCGTCGAGCGTTACGTAATTCAGGGACCCTGACTGAAGAGTCTGGGTGAGCAGGGAGAGTGATGGTTCAGCGAGCCGTTTCAAAAACCCAGGCAGGGTAACTGCCCCCGCAATCGTGAAGGAAGCGCCGTTACCGGTAGAAAAGTGATCCGGGCGAGGTTTCGAAAATGATGAAAAATGTAGAAAAAGAAAGTAGCCGCGGCGCAGAAGGCGAAGCGCAGCGAAATATTGCGAGTTGCGAACGTGGCGCGATAGGAAGTGCGTGGAGCTTGGGATATCGGAAGCCGGCGAAAAAATAGAGATTACAAAACGCCCTGAACTGGTTTTTCAACTTGCCGCTCCCGCTTCATCCTTGCCGCGCCGCCCCGAGTTCCGCCGCGGAGGACATTGCGAAATAAACGCCTTCCGCGCCCCGTTCGGCAACGCTGGTCACGGCTCCTGCCCGCTCTCACGCACACTTCGAAATTAAATATTATAATTAGATACGAGTGTAGACTGTCTCAATCCGATATCGGGAGATTATATGGAATTGGATCCAAACATTAACATAACCTCTAAAAGTCGTCGATTCGTTTCGTCGTAAAATTTAATTGCATACGAGTCCGTCTTCTTCTAGGAGTCGTCGGGTTTTTAATCCACTGCGCGGCGCCGTTTAAAACTAATGACAAAAATTGGAAAATAATTATTCAAAGGCTAGTTTGGTTTATATACGTTTTAGAACCTGCAAGCTGATTAGAGTTTCGACCAATGGTTACAGCTCGCGCCTGAACGGCTGACACATGTCAGAGGAGAGACGTTTTCACTCACTCGTGACGCTTAAGTTCGACTCAACGCTTAAGTTATGAGAGTTGTGACAACGGTCAAACGTGTATCCATTGCATTGCTTCACAATTTCCGCTCATTTCCTATTTTTTCGAGGAGAATCGAGCCAAAAAAAAAAACACACAACACAAAATCAACACAAAAGTTTGGTTAATACGGGAAGTAAAACGCAAAATAACCGTAGCCTCCGGTTGACGATTTCAAAAGAAGATGTCAGCGAGTTCCCTTGAAGAAATTCAATAAAAAACGAGAGGCGAATACCAGCTCAGCAATCAGAGGAATGCACACGACAGCCCACGAGTGACCACGAAGTCAGTCCATCATTTATCCCCTCAACAACCAATAAGATCGCTCCATTTTCCTTTGTCTTCTTTGTTTACAAATCTGTCAATTA